AAAAAAAAAAAAAAAAAAAATTGGCGAATCACGGCCCGACACGTGGCGAACTCGTGACGAACCGGGTTCACCACGACGAACCCACGCGCGCCGAGTTCGTCACTGTTTCCCTCGGTAAACGTGTGAACCCCCCCTTAAATCCCCTAATGGGGGGTGCTCTCATATCCCATATATATTAATCGAGAATCATTTAAAAAATTGTAACCTTAAAAGTGTAAGAATTAAAAAAAACTCCAATCCTACGTGGCATAGTTCATTGACTTCTATTTCAAATCCCAAGGATTCTAGAGCATGTGATATCATGTATAGTCTAAAAATTATACTCCCTAGCAATTTAATATTTCGTAGGTTATAGTTGGTCACATATATCAAATATTTATTGTTTCACATGTTTTCCTTAAATAAAACCTACGGAATTACCTAATATGATTAAAATATATATATGACAATTAATGATTTTAAACAATAAATATTTGATAACAATCTATATACTTTTATTCATTTTGTTTATTTCTTTATTATTAAAATAAATTACACAATTACATTAATCATATAATAAAAATCTTGATTTTCTTTTTGTGTATGTTGTATTTCAAATTTTTGAAAAATGAGTATAAATTACTAAAACTGTTAAAAGTCTTAAATGAATTTCTAGGATCATGGTTTAATTTTTTCTATATTAAAATATAATGATTATAAGACCATATGAAGAAATAATTTTACTTTATATATATTTCATATCGTTTTAATTAAACTATATATCGTATGAAAATACATACTTATATTTTGATATTTGCCTTGAACATATATTGAAAAGTTAATATTTTAATGTTGAAATATGTCATTTTTAAAAAAATGATTATAAATTATTGAAACTACTAAACATCTCACATTAACAAAATGCGTTGTTGTAAAGTTTTATTACACAAATATGCAAATAATCATAAAATCACATGAGTAGAAACTTCATTTAATAAATATATATATTAAAAGTGTGCTATATTACTATGTTTATATCATTTAAATTTAAATATTTATCATATACAATATATAAGTTTGATTATTTTGATTTATTTATCCTAATTGCGAATAAACATGAGTGATAGTTAAATTTATATGCATACGCCAATTTATTACATAATAGTAACTTATTTCTTAGTTATTTAATATATATATTTATTATCTTATTATTTTATAATATGCATAAAAATATATAATAAATAATAAATATAAAATACTTATTGTGCATAAATTGCAGATCTTAACCTAAGTATGTATATCTTTAATTATTTTAAATCTTAAGTATTTTCTATATCTCAGGTCAAAACAAACAAATGAAATGAGAATAAACTTGATATATTGAGTTATTAAAAAAAATATAAAAACACAACAAGCGAAAAATTGAAGATAGATAGGATTGACACGTGAATGTAAACTTCTCATAACCATAATTAATTTTTAAATTGTTAAATCATGATATAAAATGAGTTAATTTTTAATTTGTTAATTTGTAAAATTTTTAATTTTTTAAATCATTATGGTTATGTTAAATCATGACCATAATTAATTTTAAATTGTTTATTTATATTTGAAAAACTTAAAATATTGTTTTTAAAAATAATTTAAAATTTAACTTAATTTTATCTAAAATTATTTTAAAAATCTAATTTATAAAAATATAATATTATAATATTATTATAAAAATAAATAAATTATATTAAATTAGTTTTGAAACTTTACATATTTTAAATGCAAATATTTTACCAACTGCTTCTTAAAAAATATTAGGGAACTTGCTAATACTCTACCAATCAAGCGCAATGATACTCTGTTTATTTTTCATCTATCGAACACTGAAAAGTGAAAAGATATATAAATCGGGTCCATTAAATTCTAAGATTTAATATATAGTTCTAATTACAATTGTTTCTGATCCTACGTATAGATAATTATATAAAAATTCCAAAATTCTAAAATTTCAAATCCACTTAAAAACAATCATATATAATTTTAAATTTGTCAGTACTAAAATTTTATATTTTAACTACATATATTCACCCTGCACAAGGCGTTGGTTTTATCCTAGTGAATACTAGAAACGAAAGCACGGATGAGACTAAAAAAGTTGGAATGAGGACGAAGGATTGCTGCTTTTCAAATTGAATAGAAGACAAATTTATATATTACTCTAAAAAAGAATGACAGAAAATGGAAAAAAATGAATATAATCACATTACTCATCATGAATTCTTTTTATTGGTTGTTGCATTTTAAATGATTTAAATTAAACATATAAAATATCCTTAAATAATACTAAAATTACATAAAGAATTTTTTTCTAAAATAACATTTATTAAAAATCTAAAACTTTTATTATTATTATTTTAGCAAAAAAAAATATTTATTTTATATTAGATCTGGATTAAATGATTAAATTTAGGGTTAAGTATCTAAGAAATATATATACACATACTGGTGGTCGAGTGATCAGTAGGTGTGCTCGTTGTACGCAAGGTCGAGGGTTCGATTCCACTGCTGTTGGTAGATTTGTGGTGATAATCTTGAGGGACTTCTGAACCCAATACAGATAAATTTTGGTCCAAACAACGCATGGCCATTGGTGGATTTAAATGGATGATCACCATCCCCTTGGATGTCTTCGGTAGGCTCTCCAACTAATCTCCAGTGGACGGGTCTCTCTCGAGGGCATCCGAATACTAGGATGGGGTGAGACGGATTGGATATTGCTGATATTTTGGGATATCCAGATCGATAAAATTGTTATCCAGATTTGTAAAATTGTTATCCAGATTTTGACTTTCTGAATATCTAGAATAAAATACAAATATCTGGATATCCAGATTTGTTTTTTTATTTAAAATGTAAGTATTAAAAACTAATTAATTTAATATTTATTTAAATTTTATTTTTGAGAAAAATTGAAAAAAAAAATCATAGTCTTATTAGCCGATATTAAGGCATAGCCCTATTAATGAAATCATTTTACTCTTTAATTAATTATATTTTGAGAACATGTATATTAGGGCTGGGATTTATATGCGCTATCCGCTATCCGATCCGGGATCCGGTCCGATCCGCTTTGAAAAAACGGATATCCGGGGGGGGGGGTCTGGATCCGAATAGTGATTTCACGGATCCGGCGAATCCGGATCCGAATCCGGATAGTGAAATTTTCAGTCCGGATATCCGGATCCGGTTCCACTAAATATTTTAAAATATTTAAAATATAATTATATTTATATAGGTATATTATATTTTTTTTATTAAATATAATTAATATCCGCGGTATCCGAGTTTTAGTCTGGATATCTAGACCCCGGATATCTGGATGGCCTGGATCCGGATCCGGATAGTAACTTTACGGATCCGCCGAATCCGGATCCGAATATCTGATCCGTCTCACCCCTAATATTGTGTATGCTCTTTTTTTTTGTTCTTTAAGTTGGTTTGAGAAAAAAAGAAAAGTTGGAAAACCTATAGTTGATAGCTATTTGGGCATGATGGGCCGTTACCTTAAAAACGTTGGGCTTATACAAGCATTTTGAGCCTCTGATGTGCCACAACAATAACCTCAATTCCTTGTACCCAAGCTTTTCGCGCTGGCTCAGAAATTTCAACTTTTTTTCTCCCGCGCCAAATGTTACATATTTTACTGTCTGCTCAAAAACCAACGCTTTACTGTCGGAACAGACCTATCGAAGAGATGGCCGGCGAAAACGCGACGGTGGCGAATGCAATATGTTCAATCTGTTACGAAGATCTGAAACCGGTGGCTGAGAATCTGCAATCGATCTCCGCCTGTGGCCACGTCTTTCACGAACTATGGTTAGTATACTTGCTACTACTGCACCGCACAAATCAATTATATTTTTTGCTAATTGATTTTTGCGTGAAACCCTAGTTTGCAGCAATGGTTCGAATACTGTCCGAGCACGAACAAGCGAAACTGTCCGATTTGCAAGCAGAAATGCCATCTCAAGGATCCTTTCCGGCTTTACTTCCAGTCTTCCGGGAATCAAATCGATTCAATAGCATCGCAGGAGGTTGAGGAAGATCCGGTCTTGTTAAGGGGTGAAGTGAAACGGCTCCAAGGGAAGATACAGAACCTTACGTCGGCTCTGGAGAGGCAGCAGAAGGACAATCTTGAAGTCTCCAACCAGGTACTTTTTAAATTCGTGGTACCTTCGAGATCCGAACCAAACCCGAACAAAATCTGAATCCTTAATCCAATGTGTAAAAATTCCAGAATAGATCTTGTAGGGTGGTATTTTGGGTTATGGCATAAGGTTTATATGAAAAAAAACATTTTGGGGTTTTGCTTCTTAGTTGCAACAATGTAAGGAACAATTGAAAGAAGACAAAGTAAGAAGGTGGGAGGCACTGCAAGAGATATCAACGACACAACACTTGCTTAAAGTAAAGTCAGAGGTATAACTAAACTCATCATCCTAGATTAGTACAAGTTTCTGTTGAGTTTCTTATTACTATTATGTTTTGTTTTGTTGCAGGAATGTGTTCAGCTTACTTCCAAGTGCGCTAAGCTACAAGACAGAACTATGGCTCTTGCCAAGGAGCTCGCTGCGCTTAAACTGTGGGTTAAATATTGTATATTGTTCTCTTAACGTTTTCAGATAGTGAAGTGCAATATTCAGTCTTTTGGTTACTATATAGTTTGTTTTGCATGCAGGGTTTCGGATATAAGCTTGGAAGAAGATGATGTTATGAAGCTAGCCTTGTTGGGGAATAATGCAAAGACTAAAGATACAATAGACACACTAGTGAAGTCCTTGGTTATCCGAAACAGGTAGCTACATTTCATATGCTTTGTTTTAGCTTCCCTGCTCCCATTTCCTTTTGAAGTCTTTACTACCAAACATTATTGTGTGTGTCCTCCTCCGACAGGAGTTATAAGGAGTTGTTAGCCAAGTGTAATCAGCTGGGCAGAGGCGAAGCTCGATCTTCTGAGAAACTTGAAAAAGCTTTGGAAAAGATGGATAGACTTAAGGTTAGTCTCCCTGTTCTTGCATCTCATCTTAGCTGTTTTTTCTTTTATCCAGCTCATGTGATCTTTTTTTCAACTGGCAGAAGCGAGTGAGGGAACTTGAGATGATAGCTGAAGAGAGTGAGAACAGAGCTCTGAGGGATATAAAAGTTTCAATGAACTGCAGTGAAAGACAAGTCTCCAAGCCTGCAAATGAGGGCTTGGTTTCTTTCAGAATGCCTCAATCAAGCAACATAATGGAGGAAATCTCTTCACCACTTGGTAAATTTGAGAAGAATGATGGCTTCACCAATCATGAACCGTGCTTAAAGGTAAGAGGAGACTCTATTTCTGGCAAGACAAAGTCGGTTATCGAGATAGACGATGATGTTCCTGAAACAGCAAGTTCTGGCATCAGACATTCTGACTCTATTATGAAAGATGAGAAGAGTGAAAATAGTAATAATGTTGGGGAGAAATGCGATGGTCCACTGATCAAGGATATAAAATTTAATGAGAAGAGTGAAAATAGTAATAATGTTGGGGAGAAATGCGATGGTCCACTGATCAAGGATATAAAATTTAATATCAGAGAAACCCCGACATCATCAGTCTCATCTTGGAACAATGGTACATACTTTTGTTGTGCATTCATCATCAGTTCAGGTTTTAAGCGTAGTAAATATTTGAAGATTGTTCAAAACTCAAATGCAGGTGCTGGAGAAAGTTGGTTGTCAAGTGGGAAAAATCAAAATAGCAGGAGATGGGAAACGAGTCCTTCACAAGGAGGTTTTGTCTCAGGTAAGGATAATCTGATCTCTGTTGGACCTGATGGTAAAGGTGGAAGAATCAAAGTGTTGAGATCTAAACCCCAATTTTCTGTGAGTTTTTGCCTCTTCTTACTCATTAATCTTCCATAAACTTAATGTTATACTCCTCTCACTACGCTACTTCATTCATCTCGAAATCGGAAATTTAATTCTACTCACTTGTGTTCTTTTAGATTATGTTTCTCATGAAAGACATTACCACAATTTCTTCTAAGCTTACCTGGCTACTTCGTACCTTGCCTAATGTCGTTGTTCTCTATTGCATAGAACACCAATGCACGCTCAGGCAGTGGTAAGCGATTCAAGGCTGGAAGTAAAACAAGTGGTTCGTCGTCTCAAGGGTGTCTGCAGATCGAACATTTTTTTGGGAAATCTAATCGCTAACATTTCGGGGTCTGAATGAGAATCTCAACTTTTTGGAAGATCAAAAAGACCAAAGTCACCCATGTATTGTTGTTAAACTCTTCATAGCCAAATGTAATCACATGCAAATAAATACATTGACGATTTTGTTCTGGAAAATATCAAACCATAAAATGGATGCGGAGTTTTTGTGGCACATAAAACCTCAAGAGTCTAATTGTAACTTCCACTCATGGAGACATTGAGATATGAGCTACAGGTTTCGAAAAACAGAAACCTAAAATAGATAATGCCAATTACTGGACTCGAAAGTTCATCAAAATCTACCTTTGTTATTTAAAAGCATCCACATACTACAAGCACCAGAAAAACGAGAATGAAGACTTTTTTTCTTTTCTTTTTTTTCTCAAATGATATTTTGATTACTTGCACATCACAAAGCAACTTACTATTCGGCAGACACCTCTTAGGGTGTTTAGATGATTGTGGGCAGAGTAGGGTTACCTGTAGCCAAAGCCAAGGTCCAACTCATGACCCATAGAGCCCTGACGATTAGGACCACTACCGGCTTGACCCATTGCTGGTGACTGCTTGGATGGGTCCATCCTCTGGTGAATCCCCAAGAGTGTATGCAGTGAAGTTGGATTATCAACTCTGTTGACTTGAGTACCTGAAAAGACACAAAACGATAAATATGTTTTGAGAGACCAACTCAAGTGAAGCTAGATGACCAACCATGCATAGTTAGATATTAAGACCAGGGTCCTAGAAGAGCAAACTCCAATTGACACAATTTTGAATCCAGGGTAAAAAATGAGCGCAAACTTGAGGGTAAATAAAATATGAAAAGGTTTCAGTTAATCTTTTGTTATACCTGGTGGGATACCGTAGTTGGGTTGTCGATGAGCGAAGGGAAAGCCTTGTGATGAATTTAACTCGGGGATGAGACCCTGCATTTGGTTGTTTGCATTAGGAGAGTGATGGTGTGGTGGACCACCACCGGGGAATCCTTGCATTAGATGTTGGCGTTGCAGGTTGTCTTGCATATGCATCTTCTGCATCACATGTGGAGGAAGACGATCAAACTCGGGAATCCCGCTAGTTGTTGAATGCTGGAAAGGTGGACGATGATCAATCATGTTTGGTGGAAACCGGTGATTTGGTTGAGGATCCTGATGTTGAGCTATGATGCTTCCTTGGCCCATGAAATCGAGCTGAGGTTTTACATGAGCATGTCGAGTATCCAAAGGATGGAAAACTGGGCCTGAACCATTCAGGTGAATAGAGGGGTCGGTTGCATATTGTTGGGTATGATGTTGAAGAAAAGGACCATCGTGACCTCCCATTGTTGGTCTTTCGTTAGTTGGACCAGAGTTCAAAGCAGCCAGCTTGCCAGAAATGTTGAAAGTTACTTCAGGCTCCTGATAATGAGATGCTGGAAAGCCTTGTAACCCTCCGGGGAGACCGTCAGCTCTGATTTGATTTATTTGCCTCAGTTCACCCATAGACCTGTCTGATCGTAGAGGGACCCCAGGAGCATCAGTAACCATAGCTCTTCCAGAGGCTGGTTCCCCAATGGACTGCAGTTCGTTCATGAAGGAACTCCCAAACAGATTCTCAAGAGTCAAAGACTTCCCCGGATCTGCTTCTCCGGCAGATGGTGGTAGCCTAGTCTCTGTGACTGTATCTTGAGTTTTTGGGTCTGCACTTCTCTGTAATAAAGAAAGAAGGTGCTGCGACGCCTGGTCATCAACAGATGCTTTACGTTGTTTGGTCTTCTTCACTAATGAAACACTAAAGTCTTGGTCAACTGGCAATGGAGGAGGAGGATATATTTCACTAACTTCTGACAGAATAGACTGCTCAAGGTCTTCACAAGTAAGAACAGGTGGAGCAGATGTTACTGGTTTACTTGCGGTAGTGTTGCTTAAGTTATCAATGTTTTTAGTGGCATGCCCTTGATAAGGAAAGTCCATCGAAAGTTCACCCTTAGTTTTCCTCTCAAAGGTTTGCAATTTATCTGCACCTTGAAGTAGTGATAGTAAGCCTCCTGGTGGCCTGCTAGATGGGGCATCTTCGACTGGCTTGTTATCTGAACCGGTTAGAAAAAAAAAGAGATGTAGGATTATCGTCTTTGTATGGAAAAACGTTACTATTCTCGCTTAAGAGTCGGGGATTACCTTCTTCAAGAAATAGATGTGCGAATTTTGAGGATTTAACAGGCTGAGGGCTCCTTGTCTCTTCAACTTTTTCGACAGTTTTCTACAAAGGATGTGGACATTTGTCAGATCAAATGAGATTATTCCAAACAGGGACAATATTTATAGGTAAGTACATGAACATATGCACGTCAAAAAGCATTCGCCTCTGTTTATATATAGCACATGGACCACAGTATGGTCCTAAGAGAACATTCAAAATATGTTTTATCAATTATCCTCAGGATTAATACATCATACAGGAATAAGCCTCAGTTACGACTGGGTAGTGGACACTAAATCAGAAATAATTATACACCATTTGGGACCAAAACGAAGTGCATATCAAATTAAAGATTCATAAGGATAGTATAAATGCAAGAGCAATCATGGGAGAAGTCTCAGGGGAAAATGAGCTAATTGAAATAGAACGAAAGAAAAAACTCACCTGAGTAATATTAGAAGAGTCACCACTATTCAAATTTATAGCGGTGTCGAATATCTTATCCAGAATTGATGGCTCATCCGAAATCTCCAAGCTCTTCTTCTGGTCCAACTTCACTGTAGCCTGCTCAATTTTTCTAGGATATCCTGGAACCTCAGCAGCAGTTGAGATGGAGGATAGCTTTTCAAAACTTTTGTCCTTATTAACTGTATGGGTAGATGTTCGTAGAAATGAGGACAAATTAACAGCCTGCTCACTTGTGTCAGTGGAGTTGACACGGTCAGCTTCATCTTCTACCAGCATCTCACTGGAGCCTATCTTAAATACCGAGGGTTTTTCTTCATTCGTAACAGACGTTCCATTTATTATATCAATGCCTTTGGGATTTAAAGGACTACGTTCATGAGAAGTTTCAGCCTGCAAATTAGCGTGATAATCAGTAAATAAAAAGTGTGACCAAAGATAGGGGTTGGACTTATAAATTGTTTTGCAAACTGAAGTACCAATCAGAGAATACATCCATACAAAACATTTACTGAGAAAAGATAAACCAAAACGAAAAGGGTCACCATAGGCAAACTTCAACTCTCACTGATTAGCAGGAAATTAATGATTTCCGTCGAAAGTGATAGATCAAGCGACCACAGCCTTGGATCAATTAAAACCAACGAAGTAGAGGAATTAGCTTTCAGATAGGACATAACATCAATGACATCAATAAAGTAGTGGTTTCAAGAATTAGCTTTCGTAGCATGGGAATTGATGAGATTTTCTTAGCAGCTCTTTCTTTCTAAATTCCTAGTATGCTTCTTCGTTTGATAACAGGGGAGCAATACAACTACTTGTACTCATTTTCTTGTTTGAAAAACAATATGCAAACGAAAATAAAAATTTCATGAAACACATATATTAGGTTTGGATGAGCATGATAGCGACTTACTTGAGGCTTGTCCCCTTGCTTTCTTTCCAAAAATGTGCTTGCAAAACCAGGAGGTACAAGCGGTCTCGGCGCATTACTTTGAGAGGGCAAAGAGTGGTTAGTAGAACAAGGACCTGATGGAGTGTTATGGACTTCATCGCTTTTACTTGGCCGCTCTTTTTCATCTTTGGACTCCCCAAGCATTTCAGTAAAATCAAAGTCGTTTTTACGTAAGTCTGGGTTTGATTTTTGCCTCTCCTGGAAAACTCTTTGATGTTCCTTCCTCAACAACTCAAAAGAAGCTGACAGAGAGTTAAGAGCGTCAATTACAGACCGTATGGAGTTCACAAACTGGTAAAGAGTAAACTATTGGACAGATTTAAGTAAATAGATTCCTTTTACCTCTTCTTTTTCTTTCTTCTTCAGCTCTATCTTCACTTGTAGAGTCAGAAGCACCAAACGTCTCATCATTTAGTGAGTCTCTAGTGTCACGTCGAGTGTAAGGTTCCGCCTACAAAAATACACAGGAGAGGTTTAGGACTCTGTGTCCTTAACTAATTGATCTTTACTCAAGTTCATCAGCTGATGACACCAAGTGACATGGTGGAGCAGCATTCATCATTAAACCTAAAAACTATTCAAGCTGGCTACGAAAGAAAAGTGGGCACTTAACCTTATATGGGCGAGGAGGATGGTAAGGTTCATTGCTTCTCCTCAGCTGATACGTGTCATTAGACTGAGGTCTGGGGCCAGATGGTCCTGCACCCAATCCAGATGGCTTAGGGAAAGCACCTTTCCCAAGAAGTCCATCATGCTCCGGTGGTTGCCAAGGCCTACGAGATGGCAAGCCAGAACGCCTTCCACGCTCTCCTAGCAAAATATACAACTGAGTATCAACTATAATACCCAAATTCCAGAATCTTTCGCTATGTACTTCTTCTCAAGTTTTCACTCGAAAAGAACAGTTTTCATGATATTCGCTTTTGTAAAATAGACATTTACACATATTGAAAAGCCACCTGGATCCCGGTCTGAAAGTGAATCACTATCTTTATCATTCCATCCACCTGAGCGCCCTTCCCATCTTCCATGTGTGCCTCGGAAGTTGCTACCTAATTCACCTCTAGTGGGAGGCGATGAACTATAGTCATTCCATCTCAGCCGCTCGGGTGAAGGATCTTCGACGACACTGCTCATATAAAGAGTACACAGATCAAGGCATGTCTCTCTCCAAATCAGATATAATACGACTACAGGGTTATTATAACAAATTGATACAGATCTTAGAGATTAAATTCTGAAACAAATACAGAAGAGAGTCTCACCGCAAGAGTAAATCATTAAACTCAGTGGGGAGATTTGGGAGCTGCTTACAAACATCCTTATCTCTCAAGGAAAAAAGAAAGTTTCTCGTGTATGAAATTCTTGGTTTCCTGATTCAACACACACAAAAAAAAAAAACTATTACATATGCGCCTTAATCATACGATGAGAAGCAGAAGAGAGAGATAAAAGACTTACTTATTGGATACATCATTGGTTTGAACAAGCTGATCCATGGAAAATTGTTGTTCATCAGGTACACTCATTGTAGAAACAACAATAATGTTAACTTGTCAAAGGCCAAGTAACACCACTATATGTTCTTAACGCCTAACCAAGTTGCTCTAGTGTAGTAGTTCTCTATGGTAAATAAATATCCCGAAAATACGTAAATCTTGTTATAATCTGGTGAATCTGATATTACAGTGCCTAATGTCACCACTCAATAATATTCAAGTCAAACGGGACTCCGCACCAGTAACCTCGTCAAGTCGTAACGATCATCAGCTCTATGTACAATAAAATCTGCAGAGAGTCTAAAGCTTAAAACCCCCAAAAAAACTTAGCTCATCTTAAAGTCAGAAAGCTAATCTCACCAAACGAAACCAAAGGTTGTGAACCCGAAAAACCCTAAATCTGGACAGAAGGAGATAAATTATAGATTCGTGGACCAATCTGAGATCTTGAACAGCTAGCTAGCTAGGGTTAGGGGATTCCACAATCCATCCGGTAAAGTCAGATCCAGTAAATACCAAGGCGGTTTCTAGGAATAAGGAGAACGCAATTAGGGTTTCGATCTGCAGAGAGAAAGTTTGCTCTTCCAGAAACTGATCGATTGATGAAAAAAAGAGAGAAAACACCAACAAGTCTACAACAAGGGGGAGGAGAGGGAGAGAGACTTCTCTCTCAAAGAGGAAGGTAAATTGACATCTCACGCGCCTGTTTTCACGCGCTAAATCCACTATGTTTGTATTAATTCCACTGTTCCCATAAACTTTCAAAGAATTAGAGAAAAACCGTTAATATGTTTTACTTTTGCAATTTTTACCCCTGAAGGACTTATCCACATTCCCAATACAAGTCACATTTTCCTGATATTATATCAAATCAACTCATATTTTTTTAACATCATAAAAACATTACAAAGAGCAATAAATCCATGAAACATGAAGACAATACAAACAATAAACAATCTCATTCTTCTAATTTCATCTTTTTCCCTTTCCTTTGCCTTTAGCATCAAAGTGATGAGACTTAAGTTTCTTCTTCCTCATTGGCGCCCCTGTGTTGGCAACGCTTCCTTCCCTGAAAGGCATTCCCATCAGAGCCAATAGTTTCTGTCCTTCTTGATCCGTTTTGGCCGTTGTGCTGATGCATACATCCATTCCCCTTGCTTTCCCAATCGCATCAAATCTTAACCAACCAACAAACATAGAGTCTTAGTTGCAACCAAAGACCAGACTGAAAGAGGGAATCAACCACCAACGGTTGAAACCAGTGGATAAGAACAAACCTGATTTCAGGGAAAACACTTTGGTCTTTGACACCAATGCTGTAGTTACCGTTGCCATCAAAGCTACTGGGACTCACCCCTTGGAAATCTCGTGTTCTCGGAAGTGCTAAATTGATCAGACGGTCCAGGAACGAATACATCACCTGTCACAATAAGATCTATGTTGAGCAAAAAAAAAGGGAAACTTTATTTAAATAAAGATTCAAGAATGAGGAAAAAGCAGACATCTCCTCTGAGAGTGACTGCAATGCCAAGAGGTTGATCTTCCCGAATCTTGAAAGTGGCAATGGAAGCTCTAGCTCTTGTCTTGACAGGCTTCTGCCCTGTAATAAGCGCTATATCTCTCATTGCCGCCTCCAAACCTTTGTCGTTCTGCGCCGCATCTCCAATACCACAATTCACCACAATCTTTTGAACCTTTGGAACCTGCAAGACAAGAAGATATCCAAAGCCAGAAACATCAACGAGGAGGAAAATTCGCATTCACATTTTGAAATTGCACTTAAATGATTTTGTCTAGAATTATGGAACAAGACCATAAATGATTCTCCTGACAAGCACTATTATCAGCACATGAAGCTTATACTCAGGCAGCTTCACTACATTTTCAACAGAAGAAACCAATCCAAAAAAAACACACACAAGTAATGTGAACCTGCCACAGTAGAATGCCTTCACATTTTTTTTTTTATGCTTTTACATTTGAAATTGCACTTAAACGATTTCTTCTAGGAAAATGTGATTAAACGTCAAGTTGAAATATGGAATAAGACCCAAAAACTTCAGCTGACAAACATTATTATCAGGACAAAAAAGCTAATATTCAGACCATTGTCCACAGAAGAAACCAATTATCCAAAAAAAAAACCACAAAAATAATGTGAAATTAATACAATACAATACAAAACAAAAAGAATGATCTTTAGATACGAAATTCACAGAACCTAAGCTCCACATATTCCCAAAATCCACCGAGAATCAGACTTCAAACAACATTATGAATCGCAACAGAACCAAAAATCTCGGTTACCTGGTGAATGTTGATGTACTTGAACTCATCTTTGAGCGCCGGGATGATTCTCTCCAGGTAAGCCGTTTTGAGGCGCTGCACTTTCTCCGCCTCAGATTTCTCCACCAGCACTGTTCCGGAGGCCGACACTTTCACCACGTTTCTCAGCGGCGAAGGGAGCACACGTACGGAGGAAGAAACAGCTAGCGAAGGGAAACGGCTGTGAAATGAAGAAGCAGAAGACTGCAGAAGAGAAGGACACGCCATGGTCTCAGGCTCCAAAGTGGATAAAGTTGCAGAGGAGAAATGAATTGTTGTTGGTTATTGTGGAAAACCAATGGCACTTTTGTAGTTTCATCGAATTGTTTGATAAGGATTTCTCGTTTAACCCTTGTAAAAGTAGACTATTTCCGTTATAGCCCCGAAATTAAGTATTAATGTTTTAACCTTAAAAAGCTATTTCAAAATGGGCCTAAAGTCCAGGCCCATATCACTTCAAATGCCGCTTTGCATTTACATAAGTCTGTCTCTCACACACACCGACCCGACAGCCTTAAAACCTTACCGTTCATCGCTTCTCTTCTTCGTCTTCGTGTCTCGCAGGTTATTAGTACTCAGAGGTGAACAAAGGAAGAAGTTCTTCGTACGTCACTCATGGCGATAAAGCACAGAAGATGACAAAGAAGAGAGAGAGTAAAGGAATACTTTTCTGTTGTTATGTAAAAGTGTGAGCAACACACATTATATACAGTTAGACAGCTTTACCCGGAACAAACCGGTTATGGAACATTAAACCAATCTAAATGTACAACTAAACCGTATACAATNGTCACTCATGGCGATAAAGCACAGAAGATGACAAAGAAGAGAGAGAGTAAAGGAATACTTTTCTGTTGTTATGTAAAAGTGTGAGCAACACACATTATATACAGTTAGACAGCTTTACCCGGAACAAACCGGTTATGGAACATTAAACCAATCTAAATGTACAACTAAACCGTATACAATAAACCCATATAGACCAATATTCCCCCTCAAGATGGAGCATATATGTTAATGAACTCCATCTTGCTCATAAGATGCCGGAAGGGAGAAGGATACAGAGGTTTAGTCAGCATATCGGCAAGTTGATTCCCTGTCTTAACATGTAGAGTGCGTACTAATCCCTTCTTGACCCACTCTCGAACTATATGACAATCACGCTCCACATGCTTAGTCCTCTCGTGGAAAACAGCATTATTAGCTATATGTATGGCAGCGGTGTTGTCACAGTATAGTGGTGCAGCTTCTCGAGTTTCTATCCAAAGGTCTTCCATCATATTTCGAAACCAAATCATCTCCTTAACAGCTTCAGACATTGCACGATATTCAGATTCTGCTGAAGAACTAGAAACAGTGTCTTGTTTATTTGATTTCCAAGTGATGAGGGAAGGTCCAACAAAGATGCATAGACCAGACACACTCTGACGAGTATCAGGACAGGACCCCCAATCTGCATCAGCAAAAGCAGATAGCTTAAGATCAGAGCAAGCAGTATAGAAGAGTCCCAAGCCTATTGTGCCTTTGAGATAATGGAGAACTTTGTATGCTGCTTGGAGGTGTGGAGTGCGTGGGGAAGAAGTAAACTGACATAGTTTGTGGACAGCGAAGGTGATGTCCGGTCGAGTAAATGTCAGATAAAGAAGTTTCCCAACGAGTCGACGATACATTTCTGCACTTGGTAAAAGTTCACCATCTTCTAGAGACAACTTAACACTGGGATCCATTGGAATGGATGAAGGTTTGCAACCAAGAAGTCCAGTGTCAGTGAGCAAGTCAAGTACATACTTGCGTTGACAAACAGAAATACCTGCGGATGATCTAGCAATCTCCAGACCAAGAAAGTAGCGTAGAGTACCTAGATCACGCAGCTTGAAAGAGGCATGAAGAGCTCTTTTAAGTAACTCCGTAGCCTTATCACAGCTACTGGCTATAATAATGTCGTCAACGTAGACCAATACAGCCATGTATGTGTCACCAGAGTGCTTCAGGAAGAGAGTGTGATCACCAGAAGAGACCTTGAAACCCAACTGCAGCAAAGTGTCTGAAAATTTCAAGAACCATTGCCGTGAAGCTTGTTTGAGCCCATAGAGAGATTTCTTCAATTTGCAAACTGCATTAGGAGGGAAAGATTCCCCCTGTCTTGGTGAGTATCCTGGAGGTAAAGACATGTATATCTCTTCGTCCAAGTCACCATTTAGAAAGGCGTTTGAAATATCAAGCTGAGAAAGTGACCAATTCTTTGCAGCAGCGACAGCAAGAAGCAGTTTGACAGTTGAAAGTTTTGCAACAGGGGAAAATGTTTCAACATAGTCAATTCCTTCCTGTTGTGTGTATCCTTTAGCCACGAGTCTAGCCTTGTAGCGCTCAAGAGTACCATCAGCATGCAGTTTGACTTTGAAAACCCATTTACATCCCACTGCTCGTTTTCCTTCAGGTAGAGAGCAAATCAACCAAGTGTTATTTTCTTCCAAAGCGGTTATCTCAACTCCCATAGCATCACACCATTCTTTCAATTTGCTGGCTTGAGCAAAGTTCCTTGGTTCAGGAATGCTGTTTACAGCATTGATGAATATTTGGTAAGGGTCAGAAAGAGCATCATAGGAGATGTAGGTAGATAAAGGATGTTCCGTGCAGAGATTAGCGGAGCTGCAGTCATAGTCCTTAAGATGCCTTGGAGGTCTAGAGATTCTGCGTGTAGAAGGTTGAGGATCATTATTCAAGGAATGGTCAGTGTCAGAAGGAGGGACGGCTGTAGTATCAGTGTACAACGGAGGGAAGAACTCAGCTTGACCCATAGGAGCAGTAGTCTGAAGGAAAGGAAACAGGTGTTCGTAAAAGACCACGTTTCGAGAGATGAAAATCTCATTACTCTGGATATCAAGAAGTTTGTAGCCTTTGTAGCCTGATGGATAGCCAAGAAAGACACAGGCTCGTGCTCTATCCTGAAATTTGTGACGTCCTTTTGGAGATGTACTGGCGTAACAGAGGCATCCAAATGTCTTGAGATTAGAAAAGTCCGGAAGCTTAGATGTAAGCATCTCAAAAGGTGTTTTGTTGCCAATGACAGGAGAGGGTGTTCTGTTTATTAAGAACGCAGCGGTTAGGACACAATCCCCCCAATGGCTAAGAGAAACACCAGATTGGAAGAGAAGTGCTCTGGCCACGTTGAGGAGGTGTTGATGCTTGCGTTCTACGACAGAATTTTGTTCTGGGGTTTCTGGACACGAATGGTAGGATATGATTCCTTTGTCTTTGTAAAGAGCCTCAAAGCGTAACTCAGGAGCATTATCTGCTCGAACAGACTTGATTTGAGCATCATACTGGTTCTCTACCATTCGAACAAAATCTGGAAAGATGGTAAGAACATCACTTTTCAGTCTCAGTAGATAGATCCAAGTTGCACGTGTGTGATCGTCAACTATGGTAAGGAAATATCTATATCCTTCATGAGTAGGTTCAGAGAATGGTCCCCAGACATCGATGTGGAGCAGTTCAAATGGTTTGGAGCATATCTTAGGATGTAGATGGTAAGACAATTTCTTTTGTTTAGCACGTTGACAAACTTCACAATGCAATAAACCTTTATTCTTTGTCTTTGAAAATCCAAGTACATCAGAGAGAAGTTCTATACGCTCAAAAGAACTGTGTCCAAAACGTTGGTGCCAAACAGAAGCATCAACAACAGTATTAGCAAACGAAGAAGAAGTAGCAGACACTGCAGAGCTTGAAGCAGCCACATCCAGCACGTACAGCTTTGCAATCCTTTTACCTCTTCCAATCATCGACCCCCTGATAGGATCCTGTATAGTGAAAGAACCACAATCAAAGGTCACTTGAGCTCCAATATCATCAGTTAAGGAACTGACACTCAGAAGGTTAAGTCTGAATTCGGGGATAAAAAGAACATTCTGCAGAGTCACTGCATCATTGATATTTACTCGACCTATTCCACTAACTCTGAGTGTGGAACCATTAGGTAGATGAACAAAATGCGTAGAAGATGTGTCAAGAGTATTAAAAGCAGCACGGTCATGAGAGACATGGTGAGTTGCACCAGAATCCATTATCCATGTGTGCTTATCAGTGATACAGTTAGTAACACTGAGGATTCCAACAAAATTGAATGTTGAAGAGGAGAAGGATATACCCGATTGATCAGTGGACTGAGATGCAGGAGCAGAGGAAGTACCACGGTCAGACTGACACTGAAGTTGAGAGCTGAAGTAGGCAATAAAGTTTTGTATCTGATCTTTATTCAGTTTCCCAACAAGGTTATCAAGGCCAGAGACAACAGGAGAAGCATCTTGGACACTCACAGTGGCAGCAACAGCAGTAGGCTTCGTTTGTGAGGTCTTATCAGTGTTCCATTTTCCTTTCTTCCATCCAACCGGGTAACCATGAAGCTTGTAACAACGATCAACTATATGACCAGTGTTTCCACAGTGGGAACAAACTGCTCCAGGTTTCCTTTGGAAAGCATTCAGTGCACCTTGATTAGCAGCATTTGACTCACCAGCAACACTTCCAGAATGTGCCGTGGTGGGAGTTGCAGTAGCTGCAGAGGACTGAGATGTACCATGACTGACTTGAAAGGCAGTAGGAGCAACAACAAAGTTAAACTGACGCTGACTATCATCTTGATCCAAGATGTTGCAAATCTCAGCAAGGTCTGGTAATGGCTTCCTCATGAGAATCTGACTACGAATGATAGAATATTTCTCACTGAGGCCAGCCAAAAACTTTATGGTTCTGCTTCGTTCTATTTTAGCTTTGGCAGATCGTTGGCTAGGACAACTCGTTGATTTGCAGCAGAGACAAGACTCAGGAGATTCCGTGCCATCCAAGTTATCCCAAAGGGTCTTGAGGGTGGTGTAATATCCAGAGAGATCAAGAGAACCTTGACGAAGGTCTTGAATCTGTTGAATCAACTGAAAAGTTCTAGGTAGATTTGTTTTGTGAAAACGATTATGGAGATCAACCCATATCTCTGTCGCATCATCAAACGACAAAATACTACCATAGATTTGAGGAGAAACAGAGTTTAGAAGCCAAGACTTTACCATACTATTGCAACGAGACCAGATCCGAAAGAGTGGAGTAGCGGAATCAGGACGAGGAAGAGACCCATCAACAAACGCGATCTTATTCTTTGCGTCGAGAGCAATCTTCATCGCAGAGCACCACTGGGTGTAGTTGGAACCATCTAAGGTGAGAGAGATGATTAACAACCCGGGATGATCGGCGTGGTGAAGGAAAAGCGGCGAGTGAACGCTAT